GAGGGTATCGGAAAACATGCTGTTTACACGGTTTCGTGTCCCCCCTCCACTCCTCCAGAGAGGCCGCGCTTGAACGAGGAGGGTCGCGGAAAGCATTACTCTTCGCCAGGTTTCGTAGCCCTCCCCCCTTCCAGCGGGGCCCCGCCAAAGCGAGGAGGGCATCAAGAAAATGGGTCCCACGAAACCGTTAATCTCTTTATGTGGGGAGCTCCGTTAGCATATTTTTCCCAGAACGCCCTCTCCTTCCCACCCACCTCCCGCTCCATCTTCCATACCATAGTTCCTACCACACATACCATACCATACCATACCATACCATACCACACCATACGTACCATACCGTACCATACCATGGCGTACCATAGCATACCATACCATATCACACCAATGCCACACCGTACCATACCATACCATACCTCCAGTACCATACCATACCATATCATACCATACCGTACCATACCATACCTACCATACCATTCCATACCACTCCATACCGAAAACCATATTTTACATGGTTTCGTGCCCCTCCCACCCCTCCAGGGAGGCCCCGCCTGAGCGAGGAGGGTATCGGAAAACCATACTATTTACATGGTTTCGTGCCCCTCCCACCCCTCCAGGGAGGCCCCGCCTGAGCGAGGAGCGTATCGGAAAACCATACTATTTACATTGTTTCGTGCCCCTCCCACCCCTGCAGGGGGGCCCCGCCTGAGCGAGGAGGGTTTCGGACAACCATATTAAGTACATGGTTTCGTGCCCCTCCCACACCTCCACGGAGGCCCCGCCTGAGCGAGGAGGGTATCTGAAAACTATATTATTTACATGGTTTCGTGCCCCTCCCACCCCTCCAGGGAGGCCCCGCCTGAGCGAGGAGGGTTTCGGAAAACCAGATTAAGTACATGGTTTCGTACCGCTCCCACCCCTCCAAGGAGGCCCCGCCTGAACTAGGAGGGCATCGGAAAACCATATTATTTACATGGTTTCGTGCCCCTCCCGCACCTCCAGGGAGGCCCCGCCTGAGCGAGGAGGGTATCCGAAAACCATACTATGTACATGGTATCGTGCCCTCCCAGCTCTCCAGGGAGGCCCCGCCTGAGCGAGGAGGGTATCCGAAAACCATACTATTTACATGGTTTCGTGCCCCTCCCACACCTGCAGGGGGCCCCCGCCTGAGCGAGGAGCGTATCGGAAAACCATAGTATTTACATTGTTTCGTGCCCCTCCCACCCCTGCAGGGAGGCCCCGCCTGAGCGAGGATGGTATCCGAAAACCATACTATTTACATGGTTTCGTGCCCCTCCCACCCCTCCAGGGAGGCCCCGCCTGAGCGAGGAGGGTATCGGAAAACCATACTATTTACATGGTTTCGTGCCCCTCCCACCCCTCCAGGGAGGCCCCGCCTGAGCGAGGAGGGTATCGGAAAACCATACTATTTACATGGTTTCGTGCCCCTCCCACCCCTCCAGGGAGGCCCCGCCTGAGCGAGGAGGGTATCCGAAAACCATACTATTACATGGTTTCGTGCCCCTCCCACCCCTCCAGGGAGGCCCCGCCTGAGCGAGGAGGGTATCCGAAAACCATACTATTTACATGGTTTCGTGCCCCTCCCACCCCTCCAGGGTGGCCCCGCCTGAGCGAGGAGGGTATCGGAATACCATACTATTTACATGGTTTCGTGCCCCTCCCACCCCTCCAGGGAAGAAAACATACTATTTACATGGTTTCGTGCCCTCCCACGCTCTCCAGGGGGCCCGCTGAGCGAGGAGGGTTTCCGAAAACCATAACAATTAACAAATGGTTTCGTGCCCCGTCCCCACCCTCCAGGAGGCCACCGCCTGAGCGAGGAGGGTATCGGAAAACCATACTATTTAATGGTTTCGTTTCGTGCCCCTCCCACCCCTGCAGGGAGGCCCCGCCTGAGCGAGGAGGGTATCGGAAAACCATACTATTTACATGGTTTCGTGCCCCTCCCACCTCTCCAGGGAGGCCCCGCCTGAGCGAGGAGGGTATCCGAAAACCATACTATTTACCCCCCACGCGTCGGCCCGAATACAGTCAGGCTAGTAGGTTAACGCCGTGTGCTAATGCAGCGATGCATTGTTTGGGAGATTATTGGCACCTTTTAAACCGCTCTTGGCCGATCAGTGTCTGCGTTCGAATTGTAGTTACCAGACACCTCGGCAAGTGCTTTCGTCTAGCGAACTCGTGTCGCCCACCCTCTTGTATAACCTCGACTGGACGAGGGAAATGAGACCACTCAGACCAACCTCACGAATCGGACCTCACGAGGAAAATGAGACCACTCAAACCAACCTCCCGCTGCTGCTCCTGCTGCGGTTCCTGCTGCTGCTCTTCGCCATCATCCATCTTATCCTCTTCCTCCTCCTCCTCCTCCTCCTCCTCCTCCTCCTCCTCCTCCTCCTCTTCCTGGAGGGTATCGGAAAACATGCTGTTTACACGGTTTCGTGTCCCCCCTCCACTCCTCCAGAGAGGCCGCGCTTGAACGAGGAGGGTCGCGGAAATCATTACTCTTCGCCAGGTTTCGTAGCCCTCCCCCCTTCCAGCGGGGCCCCGCCAAAGCGAGGAGGGCATCAAGAAAATGGGTCCCACGAAACCGTTAATCTCTTTATGTGGGGAACTCCGTTAGCATAATTGTTCTCTTGCTTTCCTGGTAAGCATCGGCGGCCCCACTGTGTTTTCTCTCGAAGTTCATAGCCATCAGAACCAATGTGTAAATTGAATGCATATTGATTTTATGTTACGTTGAATATCTGGGGGACCTTCCTTGTCCCAAGGACGCGGCTGTCCGAAGCTATCCGAAGCTATCCGCTGCCTATTCGCGGCCCGTCCGCATATCGTCAACAACAAACGCTGAGAAGCAACTTAGCAACTCCGCCTCCTCCTCCTCGTCGTCACCGTCCTCCTCCTCGTCCTCGGCCTCGTCCTCCACCTCCTCTCCTCCTCCTGCCCCTCCTCCTCCTCATCGTCCTCGTCCGCGTCGTCGTCCTCGTTCTCCTCCTCCTCCTCCTCCTCGTCCCTCCGCCTCCTTCTCCCCCCCCTACCCGCTCCCCCCGCCCCCCGCAATTCGCGCACCTCTGCCGACCCCGTCCATCTTCATCCAAGCCCGCCCCCCTTTGTCCTCCTCGCCGGCTTGCGCTTCTTCCTGCCCCCTGCCGCCACTCGGCGCCCAGACCCCTCCGCGCCCCGCCCCCCCAGACACCCGCCGCAGCATTCGCCCAGCGACTGCGCGCGCGTCCGCGCCGGAACCGTCGCCAGCGGCGGCGAGAAATGACGCCGACAACGGCGGCGCGGGCGAGATGAGAGGGGGGGGCGGGGGGCAAAGGCGGAGAGGAGCACTCGGCAAGGAAAGAAAATAAAGATGCTGCGCGACGGCGGGGGGGCAGCACGAGAGGGGGCGGACGAGGCGGGGCAGCAGGACGGGTTGCGACGATCCCTTTGCTTTCCATATCTCTCGGCGCAACCCCTCAAGCGAGGTCGCGACAACCGCTGCGCATTTATTTCCACGTTGCCCGCGCGGCGGCTGGACGAATCAGGCGGCGCGAGCGACGCAAACCTGGCAATGCAGCGATGCGATATATGTTCCTCGAGCGGGGTTGGAGTGCAGCGTGCGCGGCGGCACTAACGCGCGACTGGCGCCAGCGAGCTCGGAGGGCAGAGCGCGGCGGCGCATATGCGGCCAGGGCGCGCGGGCGCGCGCCGCGGGCGGTGCGGGCAATCGCCGTGCATTACCACGTGCGCTCGGAGCGGGCAAAACGAACGGGACGCGCCCGAAAGCCAAAAAATGCTAGCGCTCGGACAGCCTAGCCGAACAGCTCATCAGCAAGGGCCTCCTTTTTCTTGGCCTCCGCGGCGGCGTCGTCCAGCTTCTGGCGCTTGGCCGCGGAGGCGGCGTCGTCGCCGCCACCTCCGCTGGGGCTGCCAGCCCCGCCGCCACCTCCGCTGGGGCCGCCAGCCCCGCCGCCGCCTCCGCCGGGGCCGCCAGCCCCGCCGCCTCCTCCGCCGGGGCCGCTGGCCTCGGGCGCGAACTGGTTGGGCTGGATTCTCTTCTCCCCGTTTTTCTTCGGGCCGTCTAACATGATCACTGTGAAGTCGCCGTTACTGTGCAACGTTTTAATCTTGCACACAAGCCCCTCGTACTCGCCCTTGTACTTCCGGATGTTGCAGAGCTTCCCCTTGTCGCCAACAGCCGGCTTCGGGGCGCCGCCCGCGGGCGGGGCAGGCTGTCCTGGGGCCGCTGCTGGGGGCTGGGCGGCCTGGGTCTGGGGGATTGCTGCCGGGGGCTGGGCGGCCTGGGCCAGGGGCGCGCCGGCTGGCGCCGCGGCCGCGCCTGCCGCCGCGGCGGCCGCGCCCGTCGCCGCGCCGGGCTGCTCCTCCAAAAGGGCGGGGGAGTCCTCCTTCCTCGGCGGAGTCGCCGCCTCCTCGGCGGCCGCCACGGCCGCCTTCAAGGCAGCGGCGCAGCGGAACTCCTCGATCAGCCTCGCGGCGTTCCGGGTCTCCTTGAGCCTCCACATTGCGAGCAGGGCGCGGGGCTCGCCAGCGGCCAAGTCGGTCATGTCCGGGCACTCGGGGTTCGAGAGCTGCTCGTGGGCGAAGAGGCGGCACTTCGACACAGCCATCTCCAAGAACAGAAGGTTCGCCAGGTCAGTCATGCGACGAGATTGCGCCTCCTGCGCCAGGTCTCGCAACGCCCTCCAGTGCCCGAACATCGATTTCATGCCAGGGTGCGGCAAGCTCTGCTCCACGCCGAGCCTGAAGATGTAGTCGGCGGCCGCGTGGAACTCCTGTACGCCCATCTCCCTGAGATCGGGCGCCGCGAAGGCCACCGGCTTCATCGCGAGCAATCCGCGCATTGGATCCCACTCCTCCAGCATGGCCCAGCCGCCCTTCAATCCCATGACATACTTGGCCTTCTCCGGCAGGCTGAGGGCCCCGAACAGCGTGCACGCGAAGTCGCACTCGGCGCTCTTCGGGCTGGCAGTTGTTCAGGAAGCGGCCTCGGCTTTCAGCCGCTTGGCGACATCCAACCGGTCGGCGTGCTCGCCCACCGCGTCGCCCTTGGCCGACAGCAGGCGCGCCTCGAAGCGCGCGGACTCGAACGCCGTGTACAAGGTGCTGAAGAAGAAGAGGGGCTGGTCCTTGACGTCGAGAGGGGGGTCCACGGGCGCCCACGACGACGCGTCCGCCTGCGGGGGCGGGCGGGGGGCGCGCGCACCGCCGGAAAAAGGGGCGACGATTTAGACCCGACCGGGGGGGGGCGCGAACTCGGTTGCGACGACTGGCTGCCTTTTCAAACCCGCCCAAGCCGGTTGCGACGACTGGCTGGTTTTTCCAAATCGCCGGCCCCCTAGACGTCAACTGGCGAGCCCCCCCAGCAAGCGCCCCCAAAGTGTCCCCCCTGCCCCCTCGCGCAGCGGCCAGAATCTGACGTTGCCCCCGGCCGCCTGCGCCAGGTGGAGAATCGCCTTGCCAATCGACGGGAACGCGTCGCCCGGGAGCGCGTCCAAGGCCTCCAGAAAAGGGCGGAACTCCAGGAAGGCGCCGAAGTCCTCCATCCCGAGGAGCGTCGTCATGAGAAAGTCAAGCAATTTCTGGTCGTACCTCGCCGGCGCAACCCCAGCGTCCTGCTCCGACAAATATGTCGCGAAGCGGTTCGCCCAGAAGAGAACTGTTCTCGGATGCACCTGGCCCTCTGGCGGCACGCGCTGCTTCTTCTCCGCAAACCCCTTTCGCGCCACAGCGATGGTCCGGAAGACGTCCGCCTCCTCGGCGGCGGCGCCGGGCTCCTGCGGCGGCAAGTCCGGCGCTGGCGCCGCGCCCTCCGCTGGAGCGGCGCCCGCGGCGGCTGGAGCCGCCTCCTGGGGTCCGCCCGCGGCGGCTGGGGCCGCCTCCTGAGACTCGCCTCCGTCAGCCAGCGCGGGAAGGCCCCCGCCGTCGATGGCCACCGTCCTCGAAATTGTCCCCTCCGACTTGATGTATCGGTAATCATCTCCGATGAGGTCGGTGTTCACGCCCTTCGCGAAAATCCAAACGTCGCCTGGGGAAATGCCCGCGGGGAAGTCAGCGATCGCCCTGGCGCCCCGCAGATATCGCTGGCACTCCGCGGGGGCCGCCGGCAACGCCGTGCGCCACTGCACGTAGTACTTACTGCCCAACGTGGTGCTCCTGCCGACGTCCACCTTGGCGCTCTCCAACATCCCCTTCGTAATCGTGCTCTTGTCGCAAGGCAAGAGGGCCTTCAAAACCACGTACGTTTTCAAGGCGTCCTCCGAAATCTCGAAGCCGGGGTCTCGTTTCTTCATGTTGTTCAGCGCCTTCATCGCTGCGCTGCGCGTCTCCGGGGCGATGTGCAATCCTTTCTTCTTCACAGCTACGTCCGCGGGGCTCGGCGTCCCAGCCGCCGGCATGGTGCAGTCTGCGGTGTCGGCGAGTAGCTGGTAGGGGGCCCGGCGCAGTGTGTGCGGTGCTGGTCTGTAGCTGGTAAGGGGGCCTGCCTGCCTTGAGCCAAAAGACTAAGGACAAGCATATCCTGAAGAGTGGTACTATGATATTACGCACTGGTGCCAACTACTCTTCCTCCTCCTCCTCCTCCCCCTCCTTCTCTTCCTCAGCCCTCCCTCCTCCCCTCTCCTCCCCCCTCCTCCTCCTCCGCCTCCTCCTCCTCCTTTTCCGCCTCCTCCTCCTCTGCTCCCTCCTCCTCCTGCATCCTCCTCCTCCCCCTCCTCCTCCTTTTCCTCCTGCGCCCTCCTCCTCCTCCTCCTCCTCCTCCTCTTCCTCCGCCTCTCTCCTCCTCCCTCCTCCTCCCCTCCTCCTCCTCCTCCTCCTCCTCCTCCTCTCCTCTTCCTCCTGCGCCCTCCTCCTCCTCTTCCTCGTCCACCTCCTCCGCCTCCTCCTCCTCCTGCTCCGCCTCCTCCTCTTCCGCTCCCTCCCCCCCCTCCTGCATCCTCCTCCTCCTCTTCCTTTTCCTCCTGCGCCCTCCCCCCCCTCCTCCTCCTCCTCTCCTCCTCCTCCTCCTCCTCCTCCCCTCCTCCTCCTCCTCCTCCTCCTCCTCATCATCATCATCATCATCCTCCTCTTCCTCCGCCTCCCTCCTCCTCCTCCCCTCCTCCTCCTCCCTCCTCCTGCTCCTCCTCCTCCTCCCCCTCTTCCTCCTGCGCCCTCATCCTCCTCCCCCTCCTCCTCCCTCCTCCCCCTCCTCCTCCCCCTCCTCCTCCTCCTCCTCCTCCTCTCTCCCCCCTTTCTTCCCCCCCCTGAGGCCGCGGAGGTTAAACATCCTCCTCGCCGTCCTCCCCTAATGCAAGATCTCCGGGCTCGGGCGGCACTGCTCCTCAACGGGCGCTCTCGTACCTATACGGACGCCAATGCTACGTGATATGTCGTGGCGCTCTCGTTTTGCGTGGAGGAGGGTTGGCGCAACGCGGTCCTGGGCAGCACTCTAGCACCTAGTCACCAGTCTAATCAATCTCTGCGGCGTTGGCAGTCCTCCCGCGCTTTTTGACGCCGGCTGGGACCAACCTGTACGATTTCAAATTCCTCTCGCCCTCCGCTCGCCACCATCGGCGGTGGCCCCCGGTTCTTTTCGCATTGCCCCTGCGCCCCCCCCTCGCGTGTTTCGCCCTGGCCCTCCTCCTTCCTCTCCTCCCCCGCCTCTTCTTCGTCGACCCCCTCGGACCCCTCATTGTCCCTCCGATTCGCTGCTCGTCCTCCCCACTTCGGACCCTGCCAGGCGCCCAGAATCGCGAAGCGACGCTCGTGGTAGTCACGGGCCGCAAGCACGGACCCGACGTAAAAAAACGGCCTTCGCCCGCCCCGCTTGAACCGACATCACAGCAACGTGGCGCCCATCCCGGAAGCGCTTCGCGGCGGCGGGCCTGCCCCCTGTCCCTCCGCCTCCTCCTCCGCCTCCTCCTCCTCCTCCCCCCCCCTTCCCCTGCCCCTCCTCCTCCTCCGCCTCCTCCTCCTCCTCCTCCTCCTCCCCTCTCCTCCCTCTCCCTCCTCTCCGCCCCGCCCCCCTCCTCGTCCCCATCCCCCGCCCCCTTCCCCCAGGACCTCGCGGAGGTCCCGCACGCGGCTAAGCTGAAGATTCCGCCTTCGAGCAGCGGCGAAACGCCTGGCAGGCCAGCCATCGTTGCAAGACGTCTGGTTGCGACAAGTCGGGCCCATTTTCGGCGGGCCGGCGGGGGGGTTGGGGCGGGGGGGGGGATTCTTCGAAGGAGCGGCGCGTCTTAGAAAGCCGCAGGGCGTTTCTTGGGAGCGCCCTGGGGCTCTCTCGGGAGGCGCCCCGTGTTCCAAGAAGCATCCCCCCCCCGCCCCTCGGCGCGCCGCCGACGTTTCCCGCGCCGCGCTTCGGGCGCGCGCCCAATCGTCGCAACCCCGCCCGCTCGACGTACATGCCGCGAGCCTTTGCCGTCGTAGGGCGAGGCGAACACGATGAGGGTGATCTCGCGGCTGCCACCAAACGGCAGTCCTAGGGAGGCCGCCGCTGGCGCCCACCGCTCCGGTGTAGACGCGGTGGCCCCGGCCGGGCCACTTCCCCGCCTCCTCCCAAATCTTCCGCACGGGCTCAGGGGCCGGCGTGTCCTCGTAGAACTTCGCCCCCGTGTCGCCGATGAGGGCCTCGCTGTCGCGTCCAGACATGTCGCGGCCAAGGTCCTTAATGTGGTCGTCGGCGCTCCTGTGAAATTGACCCCCCCCCGCACTTCCACGGCCTCCCGCTTCGGGATGACGCAGTAGATCTGGTCTGCGCGCAGCCCGCGGGCCGCGTTGGCCCGCTCGTGGGCCGCCAGCCTCTGTGCGTACAGCTGCTCAACCTCCTGCTGCGTGCCCTGGATGCCCAAAAGGTAGCGCGGCCGGCGGATCTCGTCTTTTCCGAGAATCATGGTGTCGTACACATCCACGGCGTCCGCCGCTGTGTCCACCAGAGGGGACGCTTCGAAAGGGCAAATCCCAGGGATGTGGACGGCGAGCTTCGCAGGACCATCCGCGTCGTTCCTCCTTCTCCTCCTCCTCCTCCTCCTCCTCCTCCTCCTCCTCCTCCTCCTCCTCCTCCTCCTCCTCCTCCTCCTCCTCCTCCTCCTCCTCCTCCTCCTCCTCCTCCTCCCTCCTCCTCCTCCTCCTCTATCTCATCCCATCCTCCTCCTCCTTCTCGTCCTCCTGCCCCCCTCCTCTCCTCCTCCTCCCCCTCCTCCCCCCTCCTCCTCCTCCTCCTCCTCCTCCTCCTCCTTCCTCCTCCCTCCTCCTCCTCTCCTCCTCCTCCTCCTCCTCCACTCCTCCTCCCCCCCGCCCGAACCCCACCGAGTGCGAGATCACGACCCCCGCCGCCCCGCGCGCACAGCCGCGGGGAACCAAAGACCCGCTGAGCAACATATCCGGCTGAGCCGTCTGCGCAATACTCTTGGGATTTCTCCTCGTCGTCATTCTGTTCGTCCTCCTCGTCCCCCTCCTCCTCCGCCTCCTCCTCCTCCCTCTCATCCTCCGCCCTCCTCCTCCTCTCCTCCTCCTCCTCCTCCTCCTCTCTCCTCCTCCTCCTCCTCCTCCCTCCTCCTCCCCTCCTCCTCCTCCTCCTCGTCCTCCTCCCCTCCTGGTCCTCCTCCTGACCCTGGTCGTCCTCCTCCTCCTTCTCCTCCTCCTCCTCCCCCTTCTCTCCCCCTCCTCCTCCTCCTCCTCCCCCTCCTGGTCCTCCTCCTCCTCCTCCTCCTCCTCCTCCTCCCCCTCCTCCTCCTCCTGTCGCCCTGCGCGCGCCCCCAGCCCGCGGCTCAAAACACGGGAGCTCGGCGCAGCGATCCACCGACCCGCTTCGAGCCGCCAGGCGCGCGAGACCTCTTCGCGCGCCCAACGCGCCCACCGGGCCGAACAGGTTGCGGCGGTTGCCTTGCTTTTCTTGGTTGCGGCGGCCGTCCTGCTTTGGAATGGGGGGGCCCCCTCGGTTGCGACGATTGCCCTGGGTTTCCAAACTGGGGGGGGAGGAGGGGGGGCTGAAGGCGAGGGCGACGAGAGCGATTTCAAGGACGACGACGGCGAAGGATACCGACGGATGATATGTTCTGCGGCGGGCGGCCGCTGGACGCTGCGCCTGTCAGCCAAAAAGGCCAGACCACTTCTGGATCAGGCCGTCGGCCTTCGGGGAGCCAGTGCGCCCCGAAGGATGGGCTAGGGCGGCGACGCCGCGCCTCAACTGCGCCATTTGGTCAGCGATCCAACGTAGGCGGCACGGATTCTTCGTGTGGAAGCCGTGCTGCTGGATGCGCCAAACCGTCCAGGCCCGGAGCACGAGGTTCGTGATGGGGCGGGGCGAGTCTTTGTCTTCGCCATAATGGTGGCAAGTCGCGGTTTTGTGGGCCCCCTTCGTGCCCATCTCCCCAGGCTTGCGCCACCTCGGGGCAATTCTGGCCCTCGCGTCAGGCCACCCGGGGTGGTCGCTGAAAGTGAAATATCCATTGCTTTCCGTGGTCCAAGTGCGGGCGGCCGCGCGCCCGCCATCCTCGCCGTCGTCGTCGGAGCCTTTGCCGTCCTCAGCGTCGGCCTCCTCGGCGGCACCCTCGGCCTCCTGCTCCAAACTCGATTGGCAAGACTGGAGGACGGAGTCGCTGGCCTCAGCGACGTCGCCCCCGTCTTCCTCGCCCTCCTCGGCGCACTTCTTTGACTCCAGAACCGCGTCGGGCACCTCCGAAGCCTGGGCCGCGCGGAACATTGGCCCGCGGTCGTCCGTGCCAACGAACTCCAGCCGCAGCTCGTAGACCACGACGTTGTCCGCGTCGTTCGCCCACGGACGGGAGTCGAGGGCCCCCTGGGCTGGCCTGAAATCCGACCGCACGCGCTTGAGGTATAGCACGTAGCGTTGTGGGCCAAGGCGGGCCAGCGGGAGGGCCCAGCACTGCTTCAGCAAAGAGCAAGAGAACATAACGAGCCGTTGGCTTGCAGGCGCGCCCACCCTGCCGCCCAAAGCGAAAAATCCGTCGGGGCTGGCAAGCAACTTCTTCAACCATTTGAACGGAGGCGTCGCTGTTCGCACTGGCTGAAGCCTCGGCGCGGGCGGCAGCTCACTCATGGGCGTCTGCTTCTCGTTCAGGCGCCGCCTATCGGCAATGGCCGAGCGCATGAGGTCCTGCCAAGCGTCTCGGTTCTCGCTCAAGAATTGCTGCCACTCCTGATTCAGGAACGGGAGTGGGCGAGCTTGCCCGCTTTGTTTGGCGGGCTCCCGCATAGCCGCGGCCTCCCGACGGAGCCGGTCTTCGTTCTCTTCCCTGTGGCGCCGCAGCGCCTCTGGGTCGCCGCGGTGCTCGACGCGGCGCCGCGAGGCCGCCGGTTCCTCGGGCTCGCCGAGCCTCTGTCCGCGAGGGCGCGGCAAAGCCGAAGGGAGCTCCTTCGCCGCGAGGCCCGTCCAGGGCATGAACTTGTTCTTGTTGCTTGCCTTGTCGAAGGCGAAAGACTCCGCCAAATTCTTTTCCCGCTGCAAACGGTGGCGCTGCAATCTCGAATTCCGACTGCATCGGGCCGCCGATGTCATCTTGCAGGTCTCACCCTGTTTAGCTTGCTTGTGCCTCCTCTCGCCCTCCATGCTGCTCGCGGTCGCCGCTGCGACGATGCGGCGCAGCTCGTCCTGGATTGGCTCGGAAAGCAGAAACGTCTGAGCCTCGGTGAGAGACCTGCCTCGCAAGGCTTCTCTGCGCAAGGGGAACCCGTAACCCGAATCGAGCTCGGTCTCGGGGCACTGCAAGAAGCGCCCCGGCTCGGGCCCGTAGCCTGACTTGTTGTACTTACGAGTCAGTGACCATAGCCTGGTGTGGTAGCGATTGTACTGGTCGAAGCGGATTCAGACGTGCCCCAACGTCGTCAGCAGGCCCTTCAGGCAGTCCACGCGGTCCAAGACGGGATCGGCGCCGAAGGCAGGGACGATGGCGCGGAACTCTTGGACCGCGCGATCCTGGACGAATCCTCTGCCGAGCTGAACAAGTATGGGATCTTCGCCAACGCGGCCGCCGCAACCCTGCTTTCTCGACGCTAGGGACACAGCAACCAAACTCAACCGAAGACAGATCGCAATCTTTCTGAGCTGTTTGGACTCGGCCGCGCTCGCCATGTACTCGAGCACGGCGCCCAGTCGCTTCGAGTTCTGCTTCTGCGGAACCGCGGCGCCAGCCCCCACGAAGCCGCGGGGCAGCTGGAACAGCGCCCAGCGCAAGAGGCAGAACACGGACTCCGCAAACGTGAAAAACCTTGTAATCGTTGGCTTGTCGTCAACCCTCAGCAGGTGCCTCGACGGCAGGCGGTAGGCCTTGGCCTGCGCGAGCTCCACGTCGGCTCCTGCGGGGGCGGGGCGCGAGCGGGCCCCGCGGCGTCGCCCGCCCCCTCCCGAGCGACGCAACCCAGCGCCAGCAGGCGGCCCGCTTGCAAAATACGCTCGAGTCGTCGCAACCCCCTCCCTCCCAATCTGGGCCTGTCGGCGCCCCCGCCTCCCGCCCCCCTCAACAAATGAAACCCCGGCCTGCAAGAATACGCCCAAATCGTCGCAGCCGTCGCCTGCCTCCGAATCTGGGCCGTTCGCGGCGGGGGGGGTCAACTCGCCGCAAGTTTTGGCCGCCGCCCGCCCAAGCTCCCACGCGCCCGCCCCGCCGCCCCGAACAACTTCCCCCCCCAGGGGGCGCGCCGAGTCCTGGCGGGACGGCGCGCTCGAAGACGCCGAACCCCCGGTTCCACAAGGCGAGGAGCTCGTCGGGCAAGGCGGCCGCGCCGTACAACGTCTGCAGGTCCAGGTTTGCCTGGGGCACTGGCGGCGGCCCGCCGTCGGGCGCGGGCACCAGGCGCAAACGGTCCACCACCCACCTCCGAAGATTCATGTGGAATTCGGCCTGGTAGTCAGGGACCAAGTACTTGAGCAAACGCGAGCACGTCCCCAGAAGGCGGCTGGAATGCACGGGGTTGGGCAGGATCGCGCCGCAGATTGCTGCGTGCACGACCAAATTGGCGGCGTGGCTCCCGCACACCCACACCGCCAACCTGTGCTGCATACCTTTCTCCTTGCAATATTTCCGCAAGAACTCCCAAATGCGCTTGGCGGCCGCGTCGTTGGTGCCGATGCCGTCGCCGACAAGCAGGTGGACGAACCGATCCGGGGCGCGCGTGCCGTCACCTGCCGCCCCGCCCGCCTGCATGGCCTCGATGATGCGCTGGACCTGTCGAATCAGTGTCGTGGCAATGGTGGGGGCGTCTTTCCTCAGCATGGGACCCAGTTCCGAGAAAACTTCGACGCCCACGCCCCCCACACATAACTCCAAGGCGTGGCCCTGGATTTTGGAGCTCCGAGCCCTCTCCGCGCCAATGCCCAACCTGTACGCGGCATCCGGGTCTACGGAGACAGACCGCATGCGCATCAGCGCCTCGTCGTGTATATGGAACAAAATAGCGCTGCGAGAAGGCCCGCTGACCTGTCGCGCAGCTCGCGCGATCTGGTCACAATTCATCTTTTTGACCTGCTCAGCAAAGGCATCACGGACCTGGCTGATGCGGGGGTGGCTCATCTGCTTCTTCTCCACGAGCGAAAAATCCCTGAACATGTCGGACAGCACGGCGGCGGGCACGGTCGGTTTGGCCAGGGCCGCCCGGACCGTCCACAAATCGTGAATTCGACCCTGTTGCCTCGGCCCGCGCTCTGCAGCGAGTTCCCGCTCGGCTTTGCGCTTCAAGCGCATGGCCTCTTTGAGCCTCCTGCGAAGAAGTTCCAGCCTTGGGGCTTCCTCGTCAGCAGGCCTCTTCCTGTGGCACCTGGCCTTGGGCGCGTCGAAATCTTGGGCAAGCGCTTCGCGCAACTTGCCCGCCGCCTCCAATGTAGCCGACGCGCCCCGCTGCCCCCGCCGGACGGCCTCCACGAAATGCGACAACGAAGCGGCCAAATCTGCCGCTGCGGCCCTCAAGTCGGGCGCAGGTTCCGGCATAAGTACATGCAATGAAAATGGGCGCCGTGAGCTACCACGCACGCGTGACTTGAGCCAAAAAGGCACTGGGGAGTACTGAGCGGCGAGATGGAGGAAAACGGACGGGGGGAGAGGACGAGGCAAGACATATAATGAACGGGACGGGACGGGGCACGCAAAGGGGCGGAAGGGGAGGAGAGCGGGATCAGAGAAGGACGAGGGCGGGATCATGGGCGGACGGTGTGGCGAGGAAGCAGGGGCCGAGGCGGAGACAGGGAAGGAATATGGAGGGAAGAGGGATGACGGCGGCACAGGGGCCGAGGATGAGGCAAGGAGCAAGAGAGAGAGAGAGAGAGAGGGAGAGAGAGAGAGAGTGGGAGAAAACGTAACGTTCATTTAATTGAATAGCGAAGGGAAAGGAGAGCAGGAATATAATAGTAATGATATAAGGAAGATGAGGTTCAGGTTCAGGCGTTAGGGCACCAGGTCAGGGACTAGGAGCTCTAGGATAAGGAGGCGGGCAATGCGTGGATGAGGACGCGGATGTCCTCGGATAAGACGCAGATGTCTTCGGATAGGGCGCGGATGCCCAATAACGCAACATGAAGCGGGACAGAGAAGGTCCCCCAGAGATTCAAGATAATTTATTTGTGGTGATTTAGAACGTTGAATTTGATTGTGGGAATTTTCACATTGCCGGCGGTTGACAAGCCTCCCTTGAGTAAACCTCCCTTTAGTGAAAGCAACCTAGGACCGAAACCGACGGACCTGGACCCGCCAAAACGACGGCCGCGACGCCCTCTCGCGAACCGAAAACGGCCAATTCGCCAATCGACGTGTCAGGGTGAAATTGATTTAGTTTTTGGAGATCTCAGTGACAGAAATTTGCAAGATGCGACATATGCAACGAACGATACATGTGGGAAACAACAATAAAAAACATATGGTTTTAATCGCACGAACGGCGGGTCCTACGGGGGGGGGGGGCCGGGTGTGTGTGTGTGTGTGTGTGTGTGGTAGAGGTAACGATTGGGGTGGGGGCAAGGGGGGGGGCGGGGGGTCATGCGTACACCGCAACGCCTTTGCATGGCCCCTGTGCACGCTGCAGAGCCTGCGTACACCACAACATCCGCGTGAAACACAGCGCCGGTGCACTCCGCAATGCCTGCGTGCACCACAGAACCTGTGTACACCGCAGCGCCCGTGAACACCAGAGCAGCCGTGCGCAACACAGCGCCAGCGCACACCGCAGTGCCTGCGTGCACAACAGCACCTGTGTACACCGCAGCGCCCGTGTATACCAGGGCAGCCGTTCGCAACACAGCGCCAGCGCACACCGCAGGCCTGCGTGCACCACAACGCCTATGTACGCCGCAGCGCCCGTGTATACCAGAGCAGCCGTGTACACCACAGCGCCTGTATACACCACAGTGCCTGTGTGCACCACAGCGCCTGTGTACATCACAGCAGCCGTGTGTAACACAGCGCCTGTGTACACCACAGTGCGTGCGTGGTCCACAGCCCCTGCGTGCACCAGTCAGAATGGAGCTCCCGCGTGCACCACAGAGCCTGTGCACACCACATGGCACGCGCACGCTGCAACAGCCGTGTGCATCACAGAGCCGTTGCCGTATGTACCGCTGTAGCCGTGCGCGTGCACCACCTGTGTAACCCGCACGCAACGGCCGCGTGCACCAGAGCGCCGCGTGCACAGCAGTCACAGCGGCCGCGTGCATGAGAGTGCACGTGTTCACCATGCCACCGCCGGGGGGGGATCGTATCAAAACCAATATGTCAACTCTTCGTGAATATTAACTTTTGTGGCCCAGGGCACAGTCCCCCGGCTTTTGGTCGACAATGCCTGTCGATCACAAGTCATCCTCCTCTTCCTCTGTCTCCTCCTCTTCCTCATCGTCCTCCTCCTCACTACCGTCGTCGCCGTAAGCGGAAACGTCGTCATCGGAGTTGTCGGAGTCGTCGTGGGAATTGTCGGAGTCGCCGTCGGCGTGGTCGGAATCGTCGTCGGAGTCGTCGTCGGAGTCGTCATCGGAGCCGCCGGCGTCGTCGTCGTCGTCGTCGTCGTCGTCGTCGTCGTCGTCGTCGTCGTCGTCGTCGTCGTGGTCATCGGCCGACTCGTTGTCGGAGTCGGTGGGGGGAGATAGGACGACGTAGGAGGGCTCGGGACGACGTGGTGAGGAAGTGGGAGGATATGGAAGGAGGTGGGAAGACGTGGGAGGACGCAGGGAGAGGCGGGAAGACTCGGAAAGACGTGCGGGGGAGGTTAGAGTGCATGGGAGGAGGCGGGAAGACTCGGGAGGGGATGGAGGGAGGTGGGAGGAGGTGCGGGGGGGTGAGGAGGGTATCGGAGTAGGTGGGAGGAGGTAGGATGTCGTAGGAAGTCTCGGGAGAACGTGGGGAGGAGGCGGGAGGACATGGGGAGAGGTGGGAAGACGTGGGGAGGAGGTGAGAGGAGGTAGGAGGACTCGCGAAGACGTGGGAGGAAGGCGGGGAGAAAGTGGGAGGAGGTGGGAAGACTCGGGAGGGGATGAGGGGAGGTGCGAGCAGGTGCGGGGAAAGTGATGGGAGGTGGGAGTAAATGGGAGGAGGTAGGATGACGTAGGAAGACTCAGGAGAACGTGGGGAGGAGGTGTGAGGACATGGGGAGGGGTGTGAAGATGTGGGAGGACGTGGGAGACGGTAGGAGGACTCGCGAGGAAACAGGAGGAAGGCGAGGGGACGTTGCTATCTGACACCGCGTGGATCTTTCAATCTTGAACAATCTGCGCAAACGGAAGCTCTCGGCGCGATATTGAACCATGATTTCGCACCACGGGCTTGTTTCTGAGAGCCCTGGGGCCCGACATGCCCCCCCCGAGGCGCGTCGCAACCTTGAGCGCCCACGCTGGGGTCGATGCTGGACCCTGCGCCAGGAAAGCGAGTCCATCACCGATCCAAAAATCCGCGCGGACCTCCGAACATTTACGGTCATGTCGCCAGCAGCCACTTGATCCGCCACCGTGTCCCCTGGCACGTCGAGGCGTGGAAGAATAGCCTACCACTACGAGTCATACAGCGTCTTCGTGGTTGGTTCCGCAGGTGATCCCACCCCACCATGATTGCCTATATTGGCGGGGAATGGCAATGGAATGCGAAAACGCAATATAAAAAGCAAGTTGCCTCGCCCAGAATCGGCGACTCGTCTGAGGATGCCGCGCGGCGGCAACGCCAACACGATCTCCATGTGGCACTTGTGCCACCAAACCTGGCGTCGGGCATCTCTGCGTTTGTATGCCATGCGGGGGCACTTGCGCGAGGAGTTGGAGGTCTTCCCCTGCTGGAAGAAGAGGGAGAGGACGACAAGAAGCACGGGGGAGGGAAGAGGGGTAGGAGAAGGAGGAAGAGAAAGAGCGCTAGTCACCAAGAAGTGGAGAATGATGATGTTCTCAACCTACGGACCATGGGGAGAGAATGGGCTGTCCTGGACACCAGGCCATCTACTGGCACAATGATAGAGCGCTGCAGCAGCTCCGTCCCCAGCACGGCAGGTTGGGCACAGGTGCAAGTACAATGCGATGATTCACACATGGCGAGGACACTGGGCTCGAAACCCTTGGATTAGGAATGCCCAGCCAGTAAGCCGGTTGAACTCCAACGTGGACTTGCCATGGATGTCACTGCCGCCCTCATCAGAGAGGGACCCCCCCAAAGCCCGAAGCCTCCTGGGCACACTCCTAAACCAACGTCCCCGCCGTAACCATGTTGAATGAACGGACGCCTACGAAAGGGAAGGTCCGATCAAATACGAATACCGACTCGGGACGTGCCAGGTGGTGAATTCTCTTCAGAAGGAGCCGTGTGCTGCGACGGTGACAAGCATCCACAAGCAGAACGGTCCAATGAGAAACTGCAAAGCTCATGGATGAAGGGGGCTCTACATTATTGCGGATGCTCTTCATATCCTCAATGCTTCATTTGATGTTGCATGTTGTCACTCGTCGTCTCCATCACTGTCCTTGCTTTCCTGACAATACAACTTTCGCGTGCCCCCGTACTCTCAAGCGAACTCATCTTCGAACGCCCCCCCGAACCTCTGCCGATAAAGGACATGGTAAACCCGGGACGGCTTGGCTTCTGAACCCAGCCTTACTAAATTGAGGTCCCCGTTGAGATAACAAGTGGCGAGACGGCATTCGGAATATGCATCAGCAGGTGGCACCATTTCAGTCTACAACACAATATTCAGGAACTCTGGGATTCGCATTCAAGATCATAACCGTCTCTCGATGCTCTCAGACAAGAGGCACTGTGCGAGGTAGCCGAAGCAAGCCCCAATGTAACAACGCACGGTGTACGCAGCCCCCCGCAATTGCGGATGAGAGTGAGGGGCGGCGGGGTCGTCAGCAATCTGCGAGACTCTGCAGAAGCCCGCCATGGGCCCCGATCTCCTCGAAATGGTGCAAGGAGCCCGCAACAAGCGCCCATGTTTTACAAATTATACATCGAGCCCGCCGCAAGCGCCGACATTCAGTCAAAGCAAGATGGGTGAGTCGCGAGGTGATCGCCGGGTGGGTCGCGCAGTGGGTTGCAGGGCGGGTCGCGGGGTAAGTCGCAGGTGGCTAGCGGGCGAGGCCGACGACAACAGCAACAACCAAAGCAACAACACAACAACAACAGCAGCGGCAGCAACAACAGCAACAACACCACCAACTAAAACAGCAGCAGCAACAACAGCAGCAACAACAACGGCAACACAACCAACAACAACAACACCAACAACAACAACAACAACGACAACAACAACAACACCAACAACACCCCCGCCACCAATAACAACAACGCAACAACAACAACGACAATAACAACAACAACACCACCAACAACAACAACAACTCTCTTCAACGCAGAACTCCACTTCAACCATGCGCCCAACGACAATTACTACCTTTCGGCCCCAATCATTCTGATTAGCCGTCACATGTTTCCGCGAATTGTCGATACCACAAAAATCGTTACGAGGGAAGACTGGGTTCTCCTCTTGGAGACTGCCCACCACGAAGGCGACCAGGACTTCGTAAGAAATCTGGCTGGGGAGGTGCCAGTGAAGCCGCGCAGCTCAACTATGCAACTGCATGTCGGTCACCTAGAACTTGATATCGAGGTTCTTACACCCTCACATAATTTTGAAACAACCAACTTCAGTAGTGGGGCTCGGCCACCCAGAGGTTCGCTGTTTCATGTGTCGCGTCACTTTCTCCCTCCTCCGACCGCCCTTCCTCAACCTCCTCGTCTACCCTCCCCCCTCATCCTACAGAGCCTTCTCAGACAATGCACTGTCCCCCCTTGGACCGAGCTGAATGTTGCCAACTATCGCAAAGGGGTAGTTGCTGGACCCGATAGGACAGGAACTCCGCGACTGCCCGGTGAGGCGTGGAGATGCTGGAGCATGATGCAGTGGCACTCGGCCGCGTGAGTGAAAATGGGAGGCTTTCCAGATGGGCCCGTGTCCCTCGCGATGTCCCCGTATCGACATGCGATGTTCTTGTCAGCCGACCGCCTGCGCAAGTTAACCTCTGTGTTCGCAGACCTCGTGGGCGCAAGCTGGAGCTCGGCCCTCTTGCCCGCGTCTACATAAGGTGGCACGTGTCCAATAAGATCTCCTCTCCCAGCCTCTTCCTTCGCTTCCCCGTCCGCCCCTCTTCCCGCAATCCTGTCTGCGAGAGCTGCCGCGGCGAGCCAGGGCGTTTCTCCCAGGACTCGGGCATGCCGTCGACCCCCCCGCTCCTCGCGGCACGGCTGCATGAAGGCCTCGTCTTCAGGTCCCCACGGTCCCCAAAGTGCAGTCGATGCTAGGAACAAGAGACCTCCTGCAAACGAGGAGTTAAGGGCGCGTCTTCGATAAAACATATCCGCCACCGCGCTCGTAGCAACAGGCGTACATCTAGCCCTTGTACTTCCCGGCGTAATCATTGGAGCTGACTGTGATGAGGGCATTGGATAAGGAACCATTGGAGTTTTAGGGTCTGGAAGCTGGGGAACTCTGGTCGTGGAGTGGCCACGGATATGACCGCCGCTCGTATTAGATAAGAAACCCTTGAGGGTCTTCAACGTCCTGGGCACATTCCTTCCCGATTGTTTCTGCCAAGGGCACCCCGCACAAGAGCTAATCTATATCCGCCCTCCGCCCGCCACTCCAACTTTGCTCGTCAACTTTACCGTGCCACCGTCGCTCTGTCCTTTCATCCTCACCATCATCCTCACTACTTATCCCTCGCACTCGAATCGTCACCCTGATCCTCACTCTCGTCCTCACCACCCTAATGTCCATCCTACCTCCATCCTTACCACTGCCGTGTTCACTCTCTTTCTCACCCTCGCTCTTGCCCGACTGATCATCCCCACCCTCATCGGAACACCGTCAAAAAGTGCATCTCTGTCTCTCGAGGAGGTCTCCCAGAGGGGATTTCTAAGCGAGCACCCGTTCTGCACTGCAGCAGCCAGGTTGGAGTGGACCTCCCACCATCCTGAAGGTTGAGTTCGAATCGGAGCGCCTAGTCGACACGCGTTCGAGTATGAAAGTTGCGCCACCCCAAGTATGGGGGATGCAATGCACTGCAACGCACATAATACCAACACCTAGCACATCATGGCATGACTGCATGGCGCAACATTGGATGGCGTGTCGTAGCGTAGCGTGGTATATCATAGTACGGCAACGCATCGCGTAGGGTAACATATACAGGTCCAGAGACAGACGCCATAGGTGGAGATGCATTGCACACCCAAGCAAACAGATGAGTACCGCAACACCTCGCAACAATGTAGCCTAACATGTCGCGGCATGGCATACCGTGGCATTGAGCAACCTGGTATGACAACGCATGGAACTGTATACCACAGCATTGCGTTGCCGTACTATACTGTATGCCGTGACATCACGTAACAGGATATACTAGTGGACTGCAAATCATATCATGTCTTAGCGTAGCACCCCTAAGCTGGGCAACTCAAGCAAATCAAGAACAACGCCACACAATGCAAGCCAAACATAATCCGATTTAAACATTTCGTGCCCGAGAACCGACGTCCACGACGCGAGGACAAGACCTAATCATGGAGTCCAGACAGCGTTCCTCCACACAAGACAAACGAGCCCCCCTCATGCAAGGCGAGTTGGGAATGCTGGTACATTGGACCCAGGACGGCTCCCAGAAAGGTGCGCTCAAATCAAAGCGAATATCCGAATACCCTGAAGGCAACAGACTATGTGGACCCCCCCGTTCTCCAATAGAGGGGGATCGGATACTTCGCGAAACCACAAGTGAAGTGGACCCATCAGCAGTTCTTCAATCCGAGAATCTCCGAGCGGCTACCCGCCTAGAAACAAATAATGGGCCCCCCTCGCTCCCTCAAAGGGGTGGAACCTCCTCCTCCTCCTCTGCCTCACTTGCCCCGCTAAGTGGCCATCTACAGGCCCTCAACGAGACGAAACATATACCCCCCGTAGGCTCCCAAGAATAACGTGAGGCCCCCCAGGAGGCCTCCAGGAGGCCCCGAAATGGCACCCGAGAGGCAGAACAACGACCATGCAAACGACAACTGGGCTTCACTTCCCCTGGCACGGAGCCGGCGATGCGCGGCAGCGCGGCTGAATACGCCCTTACATGCTCGTAGACATCTACAAGCCAGATAACTTGTCAGGGCGCAACTAATGGGAAGATAACTTCTGATTCCCGGCACGGGCTTTCAGAGTAACCGCTAGATCCCAAAGAACCGGCTTCGCTAAATGAGCGAACTACCCTGGCGGGCCAACTGGCAGCTCTTTCGCCGCACATGACACCCTGGGGCTTCGACTAACCCCTGCCAGCCTAACAGCAAAACGCTGCCTCGCAACGAAAAACTACCTACAAGAAGAAACTTTGACTTTGTTTCGACCCTGGCTGCATGCCAAAGATCTCGCGCCAGGGCGCACGGGCAAAACGCTGAAGAGAGCAAACGGGGCACCCCTCTTACGGTTCAAATGGCTGCCTCGCGCCCCAGGTGGGGGACGGGGACAAAGCACTGCACTCGGGGGGGCGCTTTTCGCTGCGCTATTGCTTCAGGCAAACTGTCTGCGCCTCTTCGCCAAACCTGCGAATTTGTGAATGGGGGCAGTGCCCCTAGAAGTGAGAGGAGGAGGAGGAGGAGGAGGAGGAGGAGGAGGAGGAGGAGGAGGAGGAGGAGGAGGAGGAGGAGGAGGAGGAGGAGGAGGAGGGCGAGGAGGAG